CTCTCTCTCTCTCCTCTGTGTGTGTGTGTGTGTGTGTGTGTGTGTGTGTGTGTGTGTGTGTGTTTCAGATTTTCCCCACAACAGCCCCAATTCCACCCAGGTGAATAGATTCAGAATCAAAGCAGTCTTTGTCCTATTGCAGACAACGAGAGCATTTGAGATGTCCAACATATTAAAGCAATTTTATAATTAGACAGTTTTTTGGTTGTCCTTGGGGTACCCCTTTCATTGTTCTTGCAGCTCCCCTTTTACTGTGCCTCTTACTGCCCACGCTGATTGTGGTTGAGCGGCCGCAGCCCACATCCCCATGTGCCTTCACGGCCCACTTGCACGTTATTTCAGGAGGCAGAGCAAAAGGGAAGGTATGCTCCTGTGCATCTCTTCAGAGCTTCATACTCCTGTTCATTTCACTTCAGATCTTCGGCTTATACAGTCTTTGTGTCCGTCCTTCATCTTCATACTTCAGTTCATTTCATTTCTGATCTTCATATTGTCTATACTCTTAATGATGCTCATTCGTATGTATTTGTTAGTAGTACATGGGGAGTGGAGGGGAGGGTGGAGGGTAAGGGGTAGAAGGCGGAGTTCTCTAGGAGTATGGGGCAGGGGAGGTAGGGGCAACGGGAGGGCAGGATAGAGTATGACATGCAAAGAGCAGGGGAAAGGTGTATGACGGGTTTCACAGATTTCTAAATATTCACCGCTGAAAAAAAAACACTATGGAAGCACCGCATCCAATTTTCACAGTCACAGTTGCTGCATCGAATGGCACGGCGCAGACAGATGTCACAGGCTACGTGGCTTGTACATGCTAGGAACACAGGGGCACGTCGACCGCAATTATAGAGGAATTGTGTGTGTGCAGTGCATATCAGAATATATTTTGCACTCTGTTTTTTCCATAAGCCTCTCTCTCCCTGTCTCTCTGTCTCTCTGTCTCTCTCTCTCTCTCTCTCTCTCTCTCTCTCTCTTTACTTTCTCTTCTTTCTCCGTTTTCCTCTTCTTACTCCTTTTTTCCAAAAAGAATGACGGCCTTGAGATATCATCATGAAACAGACCACCCCTGGGAAATTCAGGAATTTCGTTCATCTGCTTCAATCCGGTTACGAACTCAGGTCTGTATTTCAACAGTCTATGAGTGCACCTACCAACTGATCTAGGCCCATTGGTACGTTCATAAGCTTGCTGACTTCCTTTATCCTTATTCCGTTTTCTTTGGCAAGCAACTTTGAACCAAGTGATGCTGAACGCGCACACACCTCTTCTGTCAAGGAAAGACAGAACCGTTTCCGCAAATTCTGGATCGTTTTTATTCCTCCCTTGAAACATGGGCAGCCAGAATCCTGCAGGCAAAAAGAACAAATACAAAGAAAGGCAGGAATCACTGCTAATGTCATCTGGAAACAGATATCAATTCCACCAAAAGATGCCCTCTACCCTCGAAAATGCAACAGCATGATTCTAGTACTGTTCATTTCCCAGGCCTCTACCGTTCAAAATGCAAGTAGAACTTTCTGGTCTCAACCCTCCTAGGACTGTGTGCGCTTCATTCCCCTCCTCCCCCCCCCATACAACCACAGTCAAGATTTTGACCGCCATACAGTAGCATGATTCTAGTACTCTTCATTGTCCAGCCCTCTACCCTCAAAAATGCAAGTAGAACTTTCTGGTTTCAACCATCTTAAAACTGTGCGCGCTTCATTCCCCTCCCTCCCCCCCCCCTCCTCCCCAGCCCACGCTTATTCCTCACCATCTGCAAAGATGTTGTTTACCCTGCTTTCTCACCCCGCCCGTTCATCTCTCTCAGTCCCTTTTTCATCGTTCTATAAAATTTTAACTGCCGCCTGACTGTCCTGCCTACCTATTTTATAATTCTTATTTCTATTTATTTATTTATTTATTTAGCGAGGATCCAGCACCTCCGTCCGGCAGAAAAAAGGCCCCGCCCTCCCTAAGTGAAGGCGGTCCTGCAAAACGTGGTCGAGGCTGACTTCAGGTCCATGTGAACAGAATTCCGGCCCCACGTAGTTGCTGCATGCATGCAGCATCTTCAACAAACACGTAGGCCCTTGGTTGAAGATGCTGGGGCGCCTGCAGATTCTGCAAGGGCCCAGGCCAAAGGAGTCAGGGACAGGGTACAACCTGGGCACAGCCTCCTCAACCTCTCCAGCCAGCACAATACACCGGACGGCGCCTCGCATCATACATTCGAGCATTCTGGCAATGCAGCAGAGCTGTGCGTGTGGCTGCTTAGTGCATAAGCCCATGTAGCAGCGAGGTGGAAGAGGGAGAGCGGCAGCCATAGACAGGCTGCTCGCTCCATAGCCGAGTGGTGAAGAAGCGGAGGTCTTTGGTGAAACAAGGAGTGTGGATAAGGGAGAGAGGCAGTGTGAACGAGGCATGTACTTGGATGCTGACAAAGGCAGGCTGTTCAATAAGAGTCTCCAAGCAGACATAAGCAGGCTAGTGACACGTGGACTGTTGCCGACATAAGTAGGCTAGCTATCGGCGTTCAGGATGCCTTGGGCAGGGCTACATTGTTGTGGCATTGGTGATTGGAGGCGTTGGAACTTCGAAAGAGGCTTTCATTATCAAAAGACTTCAGTGCTTTGCTCGTTCCTATTTGGTGTACATTTCGCTTCGATTTCTGCTTCCAAATTCGGCTCAATGATATCTGGTTCTCTCTGGGATGTCGCAATCTGCTTTATTGTTGTCCTCATTGTTTATTAAACTTTATTTCCTTGCAAGTTGTGCTTTATTTATTGATTGATTGGTGTATTCATACATTCATTTATTCACGTATTCATTGATTCGACTCTCCCTTCCTACTTTTTGTCAGTTTTTGAAGGTTTCTTCTTTTTTTTTGTCTGTCTGCCCGCTGATTTCCGCGCTATCGCTTACCTGCATCATCTCCACCAGAAGTATGATTCGTTCTGCATGTTTGCGACATGTCAGGAACCCTTGGATGCACAGCACCTTGAAGTAATCAAATGGCTCACTGGACGACCCATCCGCATCCGAATCCATTACCTTCTCCCCACCATAGCCACAGTAGATAAGATATTTGGCACATCCTCAACAGCTCTCATACCAATCATATAAATAAGCAAAACAGAAAGTGTCTCAGTGAAGAGCCCCAAGCGACGCCCAAGCAATGAAATGCTTGCACAGCCCCACAATACAAAAGTCATGCAAGGAATACTCGCGCAGCAAAGCTTAGCCCCATGTTCCCCCCCAGCAAATGACAGCTGTAGCACGCCATCAGAATGCACCCCATGTTCCCCCCCAATATGCCCTGCCACCCCACCAGATGCGCACAAAGGATGCTCAGCGCGTGCACCCAGAGGCAGAAGGAAATCATGTCATTCCAGAGACAAATCAAAGCCACAGAAGAAACACAATTCTCCTCCGTCTCCTCCGCGCTTCACCACAGTGCAGATGCAGACTCCACAGGTTACAACACAAACAGACAGAGTCATAAGTTGTCAAAGCTTTACGTGTTATTTCCTTAGATCTGATTCCATGACCTTACAGCGACAATGTGACACAAAAAAGGGCGCGTTTTCTAGCATTCAATAAACCTTATTGTCTGCAAAACAGAGATCAATACTTCCAATATAGTAATACTCCTGGTAAACCAACAGCCACTAAGTGATTCATCCACTCAAGATCCTAAGCAATAACTCAAGTCAGCAACAATCACAAAAACACCACAAGTTGCGCAAACCCTAAACCCATCTTTATAGTCCAGTTCATCTCGGGAACACCACGAAAGACATCGCAGGAAAGAACTTGAAACACTTAGAACACACATGTTCGGCAATGCCATACCACACCGCCTCCCTCGTCCTCCATCTTATTGAAAGACGTAACCCCTGGATATCATCGCGTCATTGTTTCACAAGAGTATAAAGACTGCGAACACAACCCTTCACAAATGGGAGGGGTCTCTTTCGCACTGTGCTCATTCTGTTCCCTCTCTCGCACCATCCCCCACTTGCTCCATTTCCCTGAAGTCATAGACTGCAGCAGACACTGAACTCTTAATCTGTAAATAGATGTGCAAGCCAGGCGGCTTGGCTTTTCACTTCCAGGGGGAAGGGGGGGGTTCGCCCGGGTACCCAACCGGCTGGCATCCTGGCAGTGTCCGAGGAGATCCCAGTGCAAAATAAATAAATAAAAAAACAACGATGTGTGAATTGCATCTGAAACAACTTTTGCCAGAGATTGACCTTGAAATCCCTTATAAATTGAGACATGAAAATAAAATAGAAAAACATTTAAGTTGACATGCACCCCCGTGAACCCTTTTAGAACTTGACTTTATTAACTTAATGCCCCCTGCTTCACCCTGGTTGACCCATAACCTGATTGGAAGATAAGGCTGGATTCCGATTTGTCAGGTCAAGGACAGCCATGGCCCGAAGTCAGAGGAATTTTCTTCCTTGCATATTATTTGACCCGCCGGTTTTTCCCGGGTGGGGCTTGGAGGGGGGGAAAGGGATGCTGTCGGCCCAGCCCGGGCATGACGAGGTGAACGGCCTGGTAGCCTAGGTAAACAGCTAATTCCGAGGGTGGTGTACATTCGGCGAATGGGTGGGTACTAACCCCATAAACACATCGTCAACTAACGAAAGCTTGACATGGTGGTCACTATAGAGTATTCGAACAGTTCAAACTTCAAACCTCTTTGTCGACCAGTGTTATGTCAGAGGATAGACATGCAAGATGGTCAAGATTAGGTGTCTAGTGCCGCAAGGGCTGGGATGATGTCACATGCCAAATGGCGCAGACCAGAACCAAGAACCGACCTCTCAAAAATGGAGCAATGGTAGCACATCGGAAGACTGAAATACCAACATCAGAGCCAATCAATGTCGTGGCACAGACTGAACATCATCATCATCATCATCATCATCATCATCATCATCATCACACTGTCCAAGTGGCCTGGGACCGAACAGGAGACGAAGGGCGTGAGACAAATAGTCATACACAGATGAGGAGGAGGGGGGAGAGCCGAAGGGGGAAGATATGGAATGTCGTCGATACTGATCCAAAATAGTCCCCCCCAACAATGTCTCTGCCTCAATGTCAAGTCTGAATCCGAACGTCGCAAATCTCTCTCTCTCTCTCTCTCTCTCTCTCTCTCTCTCTCTCTCTCTCTCTCCTGTCTCTTATACAC